AACACGTGTGTGACTTACACGGGTAACATGGACTTCTTTCTTAATTTGGCTGATTTTAAACCACAAGCGGCGGCCTTCCACGCTGCACTTGTCTTTGGTATCTTTGCGATGATCTTTGCGATTGTTTATATGATCATAGAAATCTATGGCTTTTTTGGTGTTGAGAACCCCAAAAGAGGAACTATTAACAATTTGGTTGGGTTTATGAATCTCTTCTCTTTCATCCCAAGCGTTTCAGATGATCTGATTGGTCTCATTTATGGTATCACATTCACTGTTTTGATTGGGATTAACATGGTCCTTTCATTCATCTGTTTGCTTGTTGCTGTTTGTGGCGCATCATTCAACGAAAATGCGGGTCTTTCGTTGCCATCAAAAAGAGTCAATTTGGGATTTTTCGTGTTTATTGGCGGACAGGTCCTTATGGCTACCGGTGTTTTGGTGATCACGCTCATCAGATTCTTGTGCCCACCAATGCAAGAAGAGGAATCTTACTTACCACCAAAAGCACAGAACGACGGACTCTCAAATACTACCACAACCGCTACTTCGGCTACTAACGCACCAATTGATACTGGAAAGAAAGACGACGTCAACCAACAGAATTTACCTTTTGAAATCAACGAAGAGAAGTAAAAAATTTTCACTATTTTTTGAATTTTAGAGTTAAACTTGTCACTATGGTGTTAATTACACATAAATTATAAAACTAATACAATAAGACCTCGATTATTTCCAATTTTTTTATTTTACTTGACACTTTCCAAATTGAAGATTTTGAATTTTTTAGTAAATTGTTATATCAGTTAATAATTTAAATTAACTAACTTTAGATTACCTCGCATTTTTCCAAAAAACTTAAAACAACCAATCAGATTTTTGAAATTGTCGAGGTTTGTAAAATGTCAAGGTTTGGAAATAATCGAGGTTTTACTGTAGTGACATCGAATTTTAATTTCAAAATCCACAAATTTATGTGTTTTTAGTGGGACGTCATTTTTAATTTATTAATTTTAATTTAATTTATTAATTAAATAACATAAAATTGTGTTATTTTATTAAAATAAATACCAAAACAACCTTTTTTATTATGAAATAAAAATTGAAAATATTGTCTTTAAATTTTTGATTGAATCAAAATCGTAACATAATTAAAATTAAAATAAACATATTTCAAGTGTAATTAGTATCATCTCGATAATTAGTTAATGTATTTTTTTGTTGTAGATATTAGATAATATTGAAGAATTAAAGAAATTTTTGTTCAAATTAAAATATAAATTTAACGGATAATGTAATTATTTATCCCTGATAATTTTTTAAAAATTAATACTATTAATATAAGATACTTTTTCGTAGTATAGTTAAATGATATTACACTTAGACAGGGTAATCCAAACCGTAACAATTTGTGCACTGCGTGGCACTTTCGTGACGTGGCAAACCAAAAAGACAAAAATAATTATTTTGTTTTTTTATATTTTAGTTTAACTATTTTTTGCTTTGTGGTAATATAAAAAATAAATATAATTTAATAACGTTGAAAACACCGAGTTTATATATAAATATCAATAAAAACTTAAAAAAACAATGTCGAAAGATGAATACACACAACTTGTATTATTTGAGAGGATAGACAAAAACCGTTTTTATTGCAAAATATGTGGGAAAATATTAACCAGAAGTGGAATGAATCAACATATCCACTCCATTGAATACACCAAAAAAACTATAGACTTGATTTTAAACGGTTATAACTCCGGTAAAAATTTTATTTTTATTAAAAAAGTGCAAGAAAAAGAAGTTCAAAAAGATGATAGAGACACAAAATTGTTACAACATGTTAGAGAGTGTGAGTTGTTTATTTCGAAAAAATTAATCCAAAACGACCTTATTTCAAAAACAGAAGTTATCAATGATATTATAAATGGTGTCATCGAAGGAATAAAAGTCTACGGTTTACATTTTTATAAATGTCTTTGTTTGTCTAAAACAACAATGAGAAGTAGAAGCGATGAAGAATATTCAATTGAAAAAGAACAAATCAAAGTTATGATCCAAAATTGTGTTTTTGTAGCAATACAATGTGATGAATGCAAAATACACAAAGTTAGTAAATATGTAATGTGGGTGAGATTGGTAATGCAAAACGCTGAAGTCAAAGATATTCTTTTAAAGTTTTGGGAAGCCACACTTTCGACTGGAAAATCTATTAAAGACAGAATATTTAAGTATTTTCTAGAGTTTGGTGTGGACCGCAATAATAAGTATTTGTACGAGTGATGCGGGTTCAAATATGTATGGTTGTTACAATGGATGTTATGCTCTCATTATGAAAGAGGTTAACTATGAAAACAGATTTTTTATTTGTGATAAAAATAGATGTTTTTGTCATACAATTAATCTGGCGTCAGAAGAACTGA